AAGTACATGTAAATTGTGTGTTAGTATTCCTGCCTTTGGACTATGCTGTTAGAAAAGATTCACAGTGTTTCCCTGATTTGCAATTAAGATTGCTAAGCACATTAGTATTACATGATTATACATTGTTCTTTTTTAATTCTCTCTCACCATCTCTGTATAACTGCCTCATTATATAAAATGTACTGTTCTCTAAACTGATGAAGCAAATTTGAATTATGTGCCTGTGTGATAAAATTCAATGAAAATATTTTTTTAAAAACTGAAGTCCCACAGTAAAACTTAGATAAAACTTAGATATTTGGACACACTACTCAATCTTCTCCAAAAGCCTTAAATCATGAAAATGCTGCTTGTCTTTCCAAAATATATTTAATCACATTCCCTAGTCAGTTCTCAGTTCAGCTTCTCTTTCCCTATCAACATTTTCATTTTCAAGGAATAAAGCATAGGCAGTAATAAACATTTTGTATTTTCATTAAAGAGTGGTTAAATTATTAGTAAAAGTAGCCTTTCAGCATTAAAAACTAGTCAAAATACTTTGGTAAGATTAAGATCACAAGGTTAAAGAAGAGCATGAAATCATACAATTTTTTAGTGAAATCACAATATGGTTAGCTCAAAAGAGAAAGAATATATATAAACTCGATATTACTTTTCTTCAAGTGTCTACTGTTGAAGATGTAATAAAATCAGATTTCCTCTAGGGAGGGAAAAAATGGAATAAACATAATGCTGACATTTCTATAAATTCAGCCAGTAGACTCAAACATTGTTTGAGAAAGTATTAAAAATTCTAATCATTATTTTTAAAAGCGCTCTTAATTAAAGTCACTTTGGCTGATTTTTCAGATTTGCTATATAAATAGACCATGTTTGTGTTTGCTTTGTAGATACAGTCTATAACTAGCCTCTGAGTTTATTTATAAAAACTAATTTGCTTGAGTATTATAAAGATAATAAATGAAATTATATTCTTTCATTACTTTTAAAATTGTTTAAATTAACCCAATTTTAGAGTTAGTGATTCAAGGACATTACCAATCATTTGCAAGCAATTATAATTGATAATTCAGGTACCTATTTCCTGTCATGAGGGGTGCCTGGAAGGTTGATAGAGTCATATAAACATTATCAATTTATTTTTCAAAATGTGTGAGGTTTGAGGGAGTTTTCTTTTGAATAAGTATTGCAGCTCAAATAGCTTAAATTTTAAACAGCCTAAAACTTACACAGTTTGAAGTAAAAAGTCAGCTAATCACATAACAACCCTACTGCACACTCAAGCATTTTTAATAAAAGATTCTTTCAATAAGTCTAGAAATGTTCCAATGACACCAAGTTGGAAGCCAATTCAAAGTCAAATTAATATGCCAACAACAATCCCAAACCATGCAAATAATATGAATTAGTAATGAAGCTAAAATTATTAAGGTGGTTTTATGATTTTTGAATTCTCTTTCTGCATTATTAAATCTTTATAGACATTTCCTCTTCTGATTTAATAAGACTATCTGACTCATAAGACAGAGTCATGTTATATCCCACAAATGAAAATATGGATGAGCCCACGCAAAAACACAATTCCCTGGTTTTGTTCTATGGTAATTTAAATTTGCTTTGAAGGGCTGAATCAATACAAATCGTCTATCTCCTATAAAAGAAAATCCAACATAGAAAAACAATCCCAAATGAGAAGACTGCCCAGCTATTAGTCTTAAAAATTTAAGAACTGATAGGAATTCGATATGGACCATGTATATTTGCAGTTTGCAGCAGATCTGAGGTGGCATCCCTCCAGTTTGCTTTTCCTGGCTGTGGGAGAAGTGTCATGCACATACTTGATAACTTGATAATTATGTCCTGAGAGTACTTAAACTGTTTTTTTTAATGCTCCATGCTTTCCCATTTTCACTACTGATAGGAGTGGTTAGAAAACTCTCTTTCCACATTTTAAAATTGCCAAATGTAAATGTATTGTAGACACATAATAGCGCGTGTCGACTTTCCCGACTGCATCCTCCCTCTTCCCACCATCTTCTTCCTCCCCCTTGGAGTGAAGCACCACCTTGAATTTGCATTAACCATTCCCTTTTTTCCTTTACCCTTTTCCCATCAATGTGGATATTTCTAAATAACATATTGTTTCAATTTTCCCAGTTTTGAAATTTAATTAAATGGAGTAATACTATAGCATTCTTTTACGACTTGCTTCTTCTGCTCACTATTGTTTTTGACATCCATCCATGTGGATGTCATTTTCCCAACTGTATGGTATACCATGGTATAAATCTATCACAGTTCATCTATTCTGTTAGATGGTTATTTATTTCCAGTTTGAGGCACTTATCAAAGTATTGCTGTGAATACTCTTGTGACTTTCACTACACCTGCACCTACTTCCCTGGGCAAACATCTAGGGAAGGGACTGTTGGGTGGTAGGAAAGGCACAAATTAAATTTTACTGGTGAATGCCAAGGACACTGTACCATTTACACTTCCACCAACTGTATGTGATTTCTTGCTGCTCCAGAGCCTCACTAACAATGGCATGGTCAGAGTATTAAAGTTGGACCAAACTAGTAGGTGGGAAACCTGGAGTATGGCGCTATCAGATACTTTTAATGGTTAAATGTGTTGCAAAAAAAAAATTCTCTTGGGGCGCCTGGGTGGCTCAGTTGGTTAAGTGTCTGCCTTCAGCTCAGGTCCTGATCCCAAGTTCCTGGGATCGAGCCCCCGTGTCGTCGGGCTCCTTGCTCCATGGGGAGCCTGTTTCTCCCTCTCCCTCTGCCCCTCCCCCCACTTGTGGGTCTCTCTCTCTCTCTCTCTCTCTCAAACAAATAAATAAAATCTTTAAAAAAAATTCTCCTAGTCTGTGGTTATCTTTTTGTTCTTTTTAGGTGTTATTTGATAAACAGGAAGGTTTTAACTTTAGTGTAGTAAAATTTACACATATTTTCCTTTATGATTTGATGATTTTTTGACTAGATTGGTTTACAAAAAAAAAAAAAGTGTTCCTTCCACTAAGTTAAAGGCTCCAAATTATAGATTTATACTTTAATAGTATGGCCTTTCACATTTAACCCAGCTGGAATTACTTTATGTACAGACTCATGAAGTAGAGATCCAGTTTTAATACTTTTGTCCATGTGCATAACCAGCTGTCCCCAACCTTTCCTGGAACAGCCCAACCTTTTACCACTTATCAATGGCACCTTTGTCATTTAGCCACTCCCCCCTTTCTCTGAGGCACTATAGCATTATTAACATGTTTAGTTTTGAATTCCTATGATTTACCTTCATAGAATCCCTTAGGATTACTGTGTCTGAGAACTGATTGATATCTTTTAATTGTTCCAGGAAAAAAAAAATCCTTTTTATGCATTCCTTCTGTATCTACGTTTGGTAGCCCAACTGGACATACATTTTCGCACTCTGTACTCCATACCTCCCACATATTTTATATTTTACATTACCTTATTCATATTTCCACACTTTTAACTCTCTGGACCTAATGATGTGTAATTTCTTCAGTTCTACCTTTTGGTGTACTTATTTTTCCTTCAGCTGTGTCTAATCTGCTTTTAAACTCATCCACTGACCATTTTCTTTCTGAAGAAAGAAGTATTATGTTGCTGGATTAGGAGTTCTCTGGTTCTTTTTCAAATCTACTGTTCCTGCCTCACATTATTAAGCTTCTTTTTTTCTTTAATTATATCAAATATTGTCATTTTGATTCCATCTGAAAATTTTGATATCTGACAACACTTCACTGTTTTTCTTATCTATTGTTCCCACTGGTTCTCACCCATAATGCTTTGAATTCTTGTGTGAATGTGTGGGTTTGGGGTGTTTTTTTTGGGGGGGGAAGGGGTTGTTTTGTTTTTAGTATTAGCCATTCATTCCCCAGAATACTTTACCTGCGGAAATTCTTTGAAGATGGGATTGAAGTTGACTTCCTCCAGAAAGAAGTAGTGTTTCCTAGTTTCCTGTTACCACTGCTCATGACAGAGCAATTAATTCAAATTCACCACTTAGATTTTGTCAGTTTACACACATAATGCAACTGGCACATTTTTTCCCATTAGTTCAGTGATGTGCTCAATAGGTTTAAAAATGTTAAATAGTGTTAAATATATTTTTTTAAATTTTGACACAGCATTTTAATAATTTTAGTCAGAAGGGACACTCAGAATATCTAATTTGCCATAACTCCAGAATTAGGAATGTACCACATTTTGAGGCTTTCTTTTCTTTATATTTTTAACTCAAATTTGATGAGCTGTCATAAAAGGGCTGCCTTACATTCATGGTTGCCCTTCTCCAAATACACAATTTCTGGTTTATAAGAGTTCACAGTAATAATACTCCTGGAATCCACTGGGTCCTGGCAAGACTATAGGTAGGTGACCTCATCCATTCTTAGAGGTAGATTTTAGATTGTAGAGAGCCATCAGTACCAAAAAGAGTACAGTGTACCAGGAGCTAATTTTCTACCATTTTTAAATTTCCTCAGTTACTGGGCTCCAACCTTCAAGCTCTGCCACATTAAAAAAAAATAAAATGCAGAAGTAACCCTGAGTGCTGAGGCTTCATAAACAACATCTGTACATTACCTGAAGGAAGCTGTTCAGATCCGCCATTTTCTTGTCTCTTCGTTTCGTGCTTTTTTGGATTATCTCTGCAACTCCGATTCTCACTACCATCCTTGGCTGGTAGTGTTGAGTGGGTCACTGACAAGTTTTTCCTTTGTCTAACCCTTTAGCTCTTTCTTTTCTCCAAGGCGATGAGCCTGTCACGCACATTTTCCCATTTTGGACATTATTCCATTTGTTCTTTTCTTGGATCTATGAGTTATCTCTAGTTAACCCTCATCCTTCTTGAGTAACCTACTTGTCTAAATGTGTAAGTTACATAAGTAGAACTCAGAACGGAATTTCTTGCCTCCCCCACCCGCAGTTAAAGGTATGCTACTACTCGAACCAAACTGCAGAGAAGGTTACCTGGATTGGTCTTCCATCAGGTGTCAGCACCTCTTCTGAAAGTTCCATCATCTTGAGTGCCATTAGAGCAATGGGCTTAGCATGGCAGAGGCTTTTCCTATGGAGTCCTGCAGCAACACAGTACGCATCACCTATTGTTTCCACCTGCAGCCATCAGACAAATCAAATGCAAACATACGATAATGAGCCAAAAGAGAAATGATGAGTTACGTGCAATCACAAATGTTGCTGAAAACATGTCAGCAAAACATCAATAAATTAAGCAATTAGACAACTGAGTGTAATCATAGCAGAGTTTGCAGACAGCTAGTCAAATACTGACATCTCACTCTAGGGCTGTTCATCCACGTTATCACCATAGATGATCATTGAAATTGGGAACAACTGGAATATAGAACAATTATCCTCCACAAAAAAAGAATTGCCAGTATTTTGCCTGAACAATTTCCAAATAATGACCTTTTACAAAGCCACCCTCTTGTTTCCTTCAAACTTCCAATATTGGTAATATTCAAGAGATGAGAAACTGATGTGCAGAAACCCACCCATAATCTTACAATTAAAGAGTTAACAGACACTGTCAGAGTCTTTTCAGACCCTATTCTAATTTTATTGTCAGCATCCATTCCATTCTAAATAGCCACTGCTTTTGTTGTGATATTTTAAGGATTTACCCCAGACTAAACTCCTCAAATTTCCAAAGCATACAGCATGGTATAAAAACTGGGCACAACTTATTTTCAGAGGAAAGTTCTCTAATTATCCAAAGTATATGGTGGTATACTTTGAATAATTTGCAAATGCTATAACTAATAAGGGGTTAATATCCAAAAAATATAAAGAACTCATATAACTGAACAGTAAGGAACACAAATAATCCAATTAAAAATGGGCAGAGGACCAGAAAAACCCTTTTCCAAAGAAAGCATACAGATGGTCAACAGACCTATGAAAAGATGCTCAGCATCACAAATATTCAGGGAAATCCAAGTCAAAACCACAATGAGATATCACCTTACACCTGTCAGAATGGCCAAAATAAAAAAAGACAAGAAGTAACAAGTATTGGTGGGGATGTGGAGAAAGAGAAACCTTCATACACGGTTGGTGGAAATGTAAATTGGTATAGCCACTGTGGAAAACAGTATGGAGGTTCCTCAAAAAAATTAAAAATAGAAATACCATATGATCCAATAATTCCACTTTTGGGTTTTACTGAAGGAAAAGGAAAACACTAACTCGAGAAGACATATGCACCTGAAGGTTTATTGCAGAATTATTTATAGTTAGTCAAGACAGAGAAGGAACCTAAGTGTCCATCCACAGATGAACAGATAAGGAAAACATGGGATATATACACCCCAGAATATTACCCAGCCATAAAAAAGATGAGATTGTGCCATTTGAGACAACATGGATGGACCTAGAGGGTATTTATGCCAAGTGAAATAAGTCAGCCAGAGAAAGACAAATACCTTATGATTCCAGTCATAAGTGAAATCTTTTTAAAAAATGAATAAACACACAAAAAGCAGCAGAACAATAAATACAGAGGACTGTTGGTTGCCAGAGGGGAGGGGAAGGGGAGGTGGGTAAAATGGGTGAAGGGGAGTGGGAGACAGAAGCCTCCAGTCATGGAATGAGTAAGTCAAGGGAATTAAAACAGCATAAGGAAAACAGTCAAGGATGCTGTAATAGCAATGTAATGGGACAGACGGTAGCTGCATTGTGGCGAGCACAACATAATGTACAAACTTGTCAAACCACTAAGTTGAACACCTGAAACTAATGTAACATCGTGGGTCAACTATACTGAAATTAAAAAGTATATAGTGATAAAATCCTCGATGATTCTAAAATTCTAATTAGAGCAAAGTGATGAAATGGTTTATTTAATGTCCAAATCCAATATCACCTTTTCTGTGAAACCCTCCATGGTCCTTCCATTGGTTTTTAGCAGAAGTAACCGTTTCTTCTGTTCTGTTTCAACAGCACTTTTCATACCTTTTTGCTACAGGCTTTCATCATAGGTTATAATCAAGATGTAGCCCCAACTGTGATGTCAGCTCTGTAAGAATGGGACTATGTGTTTTTTTTCATCTCTATATTCATAATGCTTATCATGGTTTCTAAAATATAGCTATTTAATAAACACCTACCAAATGAATAAATAAATTAACCATGTTTATCATGATTTTAATAAGTCATTCTAATTGTGTATTCATTTTCACCATTCATTTCATGAGCACCATGTACATGTGTGCAGAAAAAAATTGTCTCTGAACGACTAGAGATGCTTCCATCATAAACATACCAAAACTTACAAAATATGCTATTAAAGATTTAATAACCATAATTAGATTTCATGCTGACTGCATTCTAACAACATAGTATTAAAAAGATGTACTGAATTAAATTCTGTGGGTGCTAAATTAGGGGATATGGTGAGAACAGTTAATCTAGGAATGCCAAAAGGACCATTTGGTTACCAAAATCTTATAAGGAAATATGCAGCGAAAATTGTTCCGATATCCCCAGACCTATCATGAATTTCAACATTTTCACTTCAAGACCTGTTTTCTTGTGCCAGAAAAATGGAAATAAAATCATAGGGTAAGAAAAGAAAAACAATGCAATGTGAGTCAGCAAAGGTTTTACTCCAAAGGCTGAAATATACTTCCCCCACGGAATTCCCACTGAGGAAGACATCCAGTAAATAATAAATGTCTAAATTGTGTCAATTTGGGGCGCCTGGGTGGCTCAGTCGGTTAAGCGGCTGCCTTTAGCTCAGGTCATGATCCCAGGGTCCTGGGATCGAGCCCCGCGTCAGGCTCCCTGTTCAGCGGGAAGCCTGCCTCTCCCTCTCCCAGTACCTGCCGCTCTGCCTACTTGTGCTCTCTCTGTGTCAAATAAATAAATAAAATCTTTTAAAAATGTGTCAATTTACTGTCTTCCCCCTAGAAACACAGTGATCTCTTCTAATCCTCACACTTAGCTCATCCTTTTGTATTTCTATACACTTTGACTTTTTATAAATGCCAGGTAACATATAGTGTAATGTTGTTTCAGGTGCACAATATAGTGATTCAGCACTTCCATCCATCGCCCGGTGCTCATCACAAAGGTGCGCTCCTTGATCCCCAGCACCTGTTTCACCCATCTCCCCACACCCCTCCCCTCTGGTGACCATCAGTGTGTTCTCTGTAGCTAAGAGTCTGTTTCTTGGTTTGTCTCTCTTTCCCCTTAGCTCACTTGTTTTGTTTCTTAAACTCCACATAGGAGTGAAATCATATGGTACTTGTCTTCCTCTGACTTCTTTTGTGAAGCATTATATTCTTTAGCTCCATCCATGCCATGGCAAATGGCAAGATTTCATTCTTTTCCATAGCTGAGTAATATTCCATTGTGTATATATACCACATGCTGTGAGCTATGTGCTTTGAAACTAACTTCTGATTTCCAGATATCAGATATCAGTATAGGCAATTATTTGTATAAGCAAACCTTTACGGCCCCTGTGAACATGCATGCTCCTAGAGCATGACCACTTCTTGAAATCCCTAACCCCCCCTCCCTCAGCAAATATCATCCTCATTATCATTTCAGCAAAAGTTTATTGAGTTCCATGAAATGTGTATTTCTAGAATTTGTACCATAAGAATACAGGTGAGTTATATGTTGCACTTTCTCTTTTAGCAGTATATAATGTAGAAGTACGGAGAAGATGGATCAATAGGTTACCAATGGATATGACACAGAAATCTAATGAAGTGCAAGATAAATGTGTACACAAAAGAATAAATTCACATTAAAATCTATATGTGATCATGCAAGCTTTTATACTACTTAGTTCTCAAATATTTGAAGTCAGTTTAACGCTCAGAAACAATAGTATCAAGAACTAGGCAAGGGTATGTGCTACGGTGAGCGCTGTGAATTGTGCAAGACTGTTGAATCACAGATCTGTACTTCTGAAACAAATAACGCAACATATTTTAAGAAAAAAGAAAAAGAAGAAGATAACAGGAGAGGAAGAAAAGGGGAGTATGTCAGAGGGGGAGACAAACCATGAGAGATGATGGACTCTGAAAAACAAACTGAGGGTTCTAGAGGGGAGGGGGGGAGGGGGATGGGTTGGCCTGGTGATGGGTGTTGAGGAGGGCACGTTCTGCATGGAGCACTGGGTGTTATGCACAAACAACGAATCGTGGAACACTGCACCAAAAACTAATGATGTAATATATGGTGATTAACATAACAATAAAAAAATTTAAAAAAAAGAAACAAACATCAAAAAATAATGGCCCACATCAAGATGTACAATTCTCATAATCAATACCCAACATACAGAAAAAATCTAAAAGATGGTTCCATCATGCTAGGCTAGATTATGTTGCAATCACAACCTAACTTCCAAATCTGCATGTATAACAAAGGCTTATTTTTGATTCATGCTACGAATTCATGCGGATTAAGGGATTGGAGGACAGGGGAGACACACGGTGCCATGTCTCCTCACTCTAGGAACAAGGCTAACAGAAGGTCCCCAACCGGGGCTGGTTGCCATGGCAGGGAAAGAGAGGTTCTGACAAACTCTGCACTAGTTCGTGCAGCTTTTTCCCAGGGGTGACATATAAAGCTTCTCAAGATTCATTCACCAAAGCAAGTCACATGGCCATGCTTAATGTAAAGGAGATGGGAAAATTCAACCACCCTTGTGCCCAGACACGAGCCAGAAATATTTGATGAGTAGCACTAATAAGTACATGAACGAATTGGTAATAGCTTAAAATTTTTCAAACATCCAGATGTCGGTAAAGTGCAGGTAATGTATCTCTATGATATTTTCTCCCTCCTTACAGATATATTCAGCATCTTAACCTGAAAATCTTGACAAAAAAAGCTACCACATTAGTAATACATCCTTCCACAAAAGTTCTATTCTTCTCTCCTCTCCCTTCATTTAATTCAGATCTGTGCAAGTTTAGCAGAATTAAGTATATGTGGAAATTTTAGTGGATTCCCTTCAAAAACATTAGTTGATTTTGCTTCACAGGGAGCAGAAAAAGTGAAAACATTAGATATCCATTACATTTGCTCCTGAGGTGGTTTCCTTGAGTTAAACCAGTTAAACAGGTGGACAT